CGATAAATGTTGGTTTGTTGCTCGACTTTATTTTCCTCTGTAAAATTCATGGGAATTCTAATATTCAGGAAATCTTATGCTGCCAAGAAATATCATGTCGAATCTTAAAAGTCTAAAAATCGTCCGTGGAGGATTTTTCAATTAAGAGAAGATGATTTCATTGGTTTTGTGTTTCTTCGTCTTTTGATTGCTCTAGAAAACAGCCAATCGGATACCAAGCTTAAACCAATCGCCATTTGGTTATTCAAGGTATCTTGCATTTTTTTCTGTTTGCCTAAAATGTGCAAGCCTATTGGCCTCTGTGACAATTTTTCTTGAACGAGCGATGTAAAAATCTTGGTTTTTTTTCCCCTCAATTAAATAGCGCTCTCTCTTGAATTTGACGCAGCGACCCGTAAAATTGTTTCAGAGTAGCATATCAGCTGCAATTTTCATTTCATTTAGGATCTCTCCAACTCATAAATATCTTGAAATCTTGAAATATCAATCATTGCGTATGTATCCCCTCCTCCTTTCTTTTTCACGGCCCAATCCACAGAAAAAAGGAAATCGGATCATGATTTTGACCTCGGTATTTCAAAACGATACAAATCAAAAAAGGTGAACAAAAAAACGCGTGCTTGTGTCACTCGACTGTTGTGGTTAAAAGTTGCTATGAGTATTTTCCATTCTTTAATAAATCAGGAACACATCTCTCCCATTCCTTGTGTTACTCAGCAGAGCCATAGTAGGGTCTGTTTTCAAAAAGCTATTGACCGTGGTGATGGATGGATGATACATCCTGATTATCTATCGAAGTTTACTAAAGAGAAAAGGTAAGTCTGAGCTTAAGTCATGTCTTTTTGGCTGAACATGATATCCGTTAGAGGGAAAGGTCTCTATCATCTAATTTTTTAAGACATTCAATATAGAAACAGAAAGTATATTGATACGCAGGAATTCCCTCTCTTTAATTGTAGAGTCAAGAACGAACAGGTTAAATGAAGATCGAAAGGAAGACACAGCAGCGAGCAAAGAGAACTCGTCCTTATAAGCTAAAAGAGAAAATCCCAGCACCGTCTTTAAAGAAGAATATTCCAGAGACTTTACAGCCAGGAATGACTGTAGACCAAATGTCTGCAAAGACATGTCCATTGAACACACTGGTAGAATCTAACACAGTGGTGTCGAAAGTATCACTTACTGGTACAGAAAAGAGTGGAGTTTGATGTGATAGCAGTTTTCAATACAGGGAAATGAACGTAAATAGCAGATCATGTACATTTCTAAACCTAACATTAATATTGTCATAAATAAAATTCGACAAAAATTTTTTGCAAAATGATTTTATTTTGTCTTTGTTTCGCGTAAAATTACACACATACTATCCTCCTACTACAGTGGTCACGCGGTATTCATTCCCTCCTCTTTCTCATCATCATCATCATTAGCATCATCGATTTCATCCAATAACGGTTTTTTATCAGACGATTCAGTAAGAATTTTCTCCTGTCCACGGCTGCCTCTAAAGGCTCTTTCCGATCCATACCGTCTTCATTCATCAATCGTCGAGCGGTATGCATGACTTGCCTGTGTATTTTATCCTGTTTAATAAGGTTATACCACTTTAGACGATGAAAGTATAACCTTCTAAACTTACGCCTAGCTAAAGGTAAGAGCGAATTGTCATTCTCGGATGTCCCATCTTTTTCTTGTTCCTATTCTTCTTGTTCAGCCAAAGTTGTTTTCATATCATCTTTCACTTCCTGTTTCAATTCATCCCAAGGATTCATTTTGTCATTATCATACGAAAAGCCAGCATGGTCGAGTGGTCTGCGTGTCGGACTTAAAATCCGTCGCTCCCGGGTTCAAGTCCCGCCCTGGCCACTACTTGGATTTCTTTCACGGTAGCCCCGAGTTTCAGATCCTCGGCAATCCTTGTAATATAGCCAATTGGTTTGCCTTCGGCCAGTTGGGATTCTTAACAATGTCATTTTCAATTTGAATTATTTTTTTAAGTTATTTCGGAGAAAACCTGTAAACTAGCTTCTAGCTAAGTGTTTCTCCACGTTAAACTAGTTATTTTATTTAATTTTTTATTTTTATTATTTAATTTTTTTATTTTTTATTATCATTGTCTTCACCGTCATCATCATCATTGTCTTCCTCGTCACCTTCATCATCATTGTCTTCATCATCTGCGCTCTCAGGATCTTCATCACTTTCTTCCTCTTTTTCTTCTTTGTCTTCTAGTGGATCGCCAAAGACATCTAGATCCCGAGAACTCTCAATCATGATCAGACACTATGATTTCTCTTATTNTTGATATCCACCGACACTGAAGTGAATGGTTATTTCAGTAGTTATTAGAAAAATGAGATAGTCATTTTTAGTAATGTTTCTTTTCCTTATGGACTCTTATTCCTAATGTGTTTTCTGTCATAGGAATCATTTATCATCCGCAAATTAATATTAACTTTTCTCGACGAACAGAATATTTCAATGTTTCGAAGCTTCTTGTGGTTCAGGAAAGAAGACGATTGGGGTGGAGAAGGAGTTACTCTTGATAAACATTTCCCTGTAGACTTTTCTGTAATGTTTTTTTTGTTTTTGCCTCTCTTTGTCTTTCCTTATTGTCTTTTACAATCACTCACGAGACTTCCTCGCGATTGTGCTTGCCTTTTAGCCGACACAGTTCGATTCAGAAAACTTTGTATTAGATCGAAGCCTCGGGGCTAGCTTCCCATGTTAGTATATGACTGTGTATGTATTAGCTCAAGGATATATATTTTGGGCAAGAAATTGTACAGTAATTTTTTATTTCAATCATTGCTTGTATAGACTTATCTAAAGTAAGTTTAACGCCAGAGATGTTCTGATTCGTATGGGTCAATAAATACAATTTGGCCTTCTTTGGAAGACTACTTGATTAACTGTTATTAACCCATTTAAAGAGTCCTTGTATCATTGTTTTCCTACATGTACTGACCTCATCGCAACCGGCTTTTTATTTCATGTTTTGCTTTATACTGTCATTTTGTAATAAATGATATATAACCGTATTAAGGATAGGTCAGCACGCTTGTAATGATCTTTTTAAGAGTAGACAACTTTTTCTGCTAAATCAGTCAACCGAACATTGTCCCGGAAAGATTTGTTGTAGTGACTACAAATGCTGTATTCACCTGCCAGCAGAGCGAGCGCTGTGCCTCTATTTGAATCGAAATCTCTGAAAAGTACCGCTAGTTGTTGAACATCCAGCCGCCTTTAAAGGAGAGGGCGTTCGTGCGATCATTAAATTCTTGATGAACAGTTACAGAAGATTTGACTCGGCGCTTCCTCTTGAAATATCGTTGCAGCACCAAGCGTTGAATCACAGAGCCCGAGAGTCAGGTTTCTTCTGAAGAGATGAAAAGTGCAGGTTTGATTTAGAATTGCAACTTCGTTCACACATCTTAAAGATTAAAGACGTTACGCGCGCCTGCATTCCGACCGCTTTATTGAGTTGGCCATTGCTCTTTGTTCCAATCCCAGACGAGAGGCCATTCAGGCATGCGCGAAAGTCTGACTTATCAAGAGGTGCTCTTAATTTGGACGATTTCAAGATGGACTGCGCCAACTTATATCTCTTCAAGACACTTAGGTCAACCTATCAGATTGCCTCGTCTTAATTACCCACAAGCACCTTGGTGACGTGACAATGCTGTTTGGATGATAGCTTTTATCACAAGGCATTTTTGGTCGACATGGAACCAAGACCTTGCCTTAAAAATGTTTTAAAAAATATGTTTTAAAAAAAATGTTCGCCTTCACGTGATACATGCACGAACCTTCGGTTTTTGCGCCTCGATGCTCTACAATTAATCAACAGAACTGTAAAGTTGTGTGAAAATTATATATAAAGTTGTTGCTTTTAATCATAAAGCAAAAGCAAACAGTTATTTTTTTTGAGGGGGGAGCGTTTTCATTTGCTAGCACGGCGCTACTTTGGTAGAATGGTTGGAAAGAAAAAAATTATATGGGCGGGGTGGTTGAAGGGAAGGGAGAGGAGGTACCGATGCCAATCTCTCTCTCTTTTGTTTCGCAATCTTTTCTCTAAACCAAATTTTTTCGGCCGCAGATCAAGCTAAACCTGGCAAATCACGCTGATGATGAAACATCTTTTAAAGATATCACGAATAATCGAATAGATAATGCAAAGGAAGTAATTATACAGTATGACATACCTGGGCAAGTATATAACTCCAGCCTCATGGAAATGTGGCGTTGCCATTCAGTTGGTTTTACCCGTAAGAATCGCGCTGTGATTGGTGGATCCAATAGATGATAGACAACGGTGTCTCGGTCGATATTGCCCTCAAAAACCTTAAGTGTCAACACAGTTTCATAGGAAAAAAAAAACATGATCTCAAAAGAAATATACTTAACAATGAGCTTATTAATGGACTCATTACTCAACTGATAACTCACTGCATTGTTTGAAAGCAAGGACAAAGAGAGGTTTGAGTTAAGACGAAGAGTAAAGACCAGGATATGACAAAAGATGCCCTCTGAAGCTTATTGCGATAATTGCAACGACCTTAGGTCTTCTCTACATCTTTTTCAGTCCGTGGGAACCTTAAGCCATCCTGTCAGCTTTGCCGTGCTGATGAGGCTTAATACGAGTGAAACAACTCTCCTCAATCATCGGCATGGTGGCTAACTTGGTGGGCTAATTATTGCATCAATTCCTTTTTGGTAGAGCACACCTGGCGTTCCAGCCTTTG